CCATAGGGCAGTGTGGGGGCCGTTGGTTGGTCCCTGCCACTGCTCGGCGGGCAGGGGGCACGCAGCCAGCATGCAGCTTCTGGAGCAAAGGAGGCAGGGTGAAGCCCGCAATGAGCAGCCCACATCTGCCCTTGGCCCCCCGCTCGCCTTCTAAAAGCATCCTGCACTTAAAAATGGTAGTGGCAGCGCTTGAACTAAAGTTCATTTGACAAGCTTTAGTTCAAGCATCCCCGCAACCATTTTTAAGTGCTGGGACAATGATTCCCTGGACAAACCACCAATGGCTCTGTCCCGCTCCCTGCCCTGGCCCCGGGTTCCCATTCACTACCCTAGGTAGGCAGTGCCCCCAGCCTCAGCCCCACTCCCTCCCTCACTTTGGGAGGGCTTCAATCTGCCCCGCACTCCCCTATGCCCCATCCCCTCCACAGGCTTATCTACAGGGCACTGCTCTCCACACTGCGCAGCCACAATCCTGTAAATCAGTTATTGGATCAGTATTGGCTAATATGGCTGGTGAATAATCAGCTATTGGTATTGGCCAAGAAAACGTTTAACAGTGTACCCCTATAAATTTACATGGCAAACCACAAGACATCTAACCAACACAGCACTGAAGTGCTGTGAGAAATGCGAAAAGTGAGGTGAAGAAAGCTAGGTAGTTTTAAACTTTATTTAAAGTCTATAAACTTGATTACATAATGTGGTTTTCTGAAAGGCTTCAGCAGTGTTTCAGAGGGCATGAGTTAGCTAACATAATCCAACAAATGTGTCTTTAAACGCTGGTCACCACAAAGCTTAACAGGAGCAAGAAACCTCTTTCATCATCATCCTTGATCAAAAATTTAAACTGCTCACTCCTGTATACAGCTTAGGTCTAGGGCCCAATCCACCCAATGGGAAGATAGGCATTTTTTTGCTTTTCTACTGGCTCCTACTGGAGATTCAGATACATCAGAGGAGAAACACCTCCACTGTTTCACCTGCATTTTCATGGTTGCTATCAGAATGGGGCAGGCATACCTGTTATTACACTGCTCTTCTCACAACACCTTTGCATTTCCCCCCTCAGAAAGATTCAGCGACTGCCTTTGATCCTACTCAAACCTCAGAGGAACACAGAGAAACTGGCCCAAACCCTGAAGTCACCTTGCTGGTCAGATTCATGTTTTAAAGAAGTGTCAATGGGGGAGCCACAACGATTTGCAGTAGAGGTGAAAGTAAACAAAGGCCATCAATATGGCAAGGTGAAGGGCAGAGCACAGAAGCGAAGGGCACAGAAGTATTTATGCCGCCCGGCTAAAGCCCTTTCGTCATGTCGGGTTACACTACAAAGGCTCTCGTCACCAACCTCAGGTTGCAAATTCTGTCCTTGCACTTCTCAACCTTGTTTTTGACCCAAGATCCCTTTGTTTGACTAAAGCTCTCCTTTGGAAAACGTCCACCCTGGGCTTCTGCTTAGGTTTTTTGACTATAAAAAAGTCTTATCACAGTTCTTCTGCAAGAAAGGGTTCAGAAAGTCCCTGGTTGAGGTGATCAGGCTTTGCTGCTACGGATTTCTAGGCGAAAGCTCCTGTGAAGCACATGCAGGTGTTTGCACACTGCGTGGCCCCCTCAAAAGGATCTTGAGGTGCTTTAGGGTGCTGCAGCTGCCTGACTGTGAAGGGAGAGCGGTGAGACAAGACTTATGAGGAAAGGCTGAAAGAACTCGGGTTATGTCAGTTGGACTAGATGACCTTTGGAGGTCCCTTCCAGCTCAACTTCTCTATGTCTCTATTTAGTCTGGAGAAGACTGAGCAGGGATTGGACACGTGTTCAAATACCTGAGGAACAACTACAGGTTCAAGCTGCAGCAGTGAAGATTTAGATTGGAGATTAGGAGGAACTTCCCGACTACGAGGGTCCGACTTAGAGGCTGGTCAAGCATCGGAACAGGCTACCTTGAGAAATCAGTCCCATCCTTGGGATTTTTCAGGAGCAAGTTGAACAGACACATGGCAGGAAGGCACTGCGGCTTTCTACTTGACTTAAGACTAACGTGGGTAACAACCATCTCTGCTCACTGGGTGAGCTCGCCGGGAGTGATCCTGCCTTGGGAAAGGTGCTGGACTAGCTGGGCGTGCTGACCCTTCTGCTAGGAGCAAAGCTGGTTAGAGGGTCTCAGCCCCACGTGGGGTCAGGAAGGAATTTTCCTCCAGGATTGGATCGGTAGGAACTGAGAAGGGCTCAGCCTTACTGTGTCGCAGGGAGGATGTGGCCCTCTGCCAGGGACCCCTTAGGCATATACTGACAATACCTCACTACACAGCGAAGCAAGCCCCATGCAGTCCCCACCAATCCTGAGGGAAAATTCTTCCCAGAACCCACATGGGGCTGACCCTGAGTGGAGAAGTGAGATCCTCTAACCAGCTTTGCTCCTAGCAGGAGGATCAGCACACCTATTAATCCAGCCCCTTACCCACGGCAGGTTCACCCCAACTAGCCCACTCCCTGAGAAGAGAAAGGCAGTTAGCCAGTCAACCTGGCAGCTCAGGGTGCTCTGCGCTGTGCCAGGGTTAGTGGCTGTCCCACGCGGAGCACAGATGACATGGATGGTTCGGGCAGGGCAGGGCCGGACCGGAGACAGGCATGGGTGAACAGGGAGGCCACCTGGGGCCCCCGAATGGTAATTTTTAGTATTATTATCATTTCTGGCGAAGGGGGGGAGGGAGGGGATGATGATACTAAAAGTTTGCTTGGGGCTGCCAGGAGTCTAGGTAGGGTGACAGGTGAGCGGTGACCCCTGCAGCTCCCTCCCAGCCCCGATCCGGCCCGCAGGCACTCACCCACGGCGTTGCAGCCGGTGGGCAGGACGAGGCG